TATGCCCCAAATGTTTACCAGGCTGTCATCATCTTCGCCTGCCCTTGGGGAATGTGACAGGAAATGATACTGGTCGCCATGTGGCCTGCTGGGTCATCCTCACGGCCCCGCTCACATGCTTGCACTGGCCAACAGAGTAGCCGTTGCTGAGCTGCCTGGATTCCGCGGTAAAGGGCTCCTGAGCCAGGAGAGATTGCAGCCTGCTAGCTCGAAACACTCGGCTTGCGCAATCCGCCAAGGATGGTTTCACTGGCTGTCTTAGCCGCACAGCTTCTGCATCAAATGCATTTGCTCTTGGGAGCGGCAGAGGTTGGCTGCAGTGGAGCCTGGCTCGGGTGGACTCCACGGGATCCAAAGCCAACCTGCGAAGGCGTCCGCTCTGTTTGTGGATTGTCGCAGCCAGTTCTGTAATAGCAGAAAGCAGGAGTGAGCGGGGGAGAAACACATCCATCAAAGGGAACAGGAAGGAGACAGAGAGTCAGAGTAAGAGAGTACGCGAAGCAACAGGGGAGCTACAGTACCGAAAGCTTGACTTAGCGACACCTGATGAGACCCAGTAATGCATGGAATGCAGAATCTAATTCATCTAAGTTCAGTTTTGAATTGACCTAGGTCAAGAATTAATGGGACCAATCTTGGATCTTAGATCCGGATTCAATTAAAGCTCGACTTGCCACTGGCCTGCTATCAACTCAAACATTCCATTACACTTGAAACATGACTTGAAGCTCGGATCCAGACCTCGATTCTCAGTCTTTATTAAACCTCTTGATTGGAGGCTTGGAGTTCAAATTTAGATGGAGACATGTTGAGGGTATTTTTTCATTTTTTGGGGGAGGTACAGTACGGTACGTGCATATACGTTTTGTCCAAATACACACTTCTAGGCACGCGGGAGTAGTATCAATGGATCTGTGGTGGTGGTGGTGGTGGTGGTGGTGGTGGTGGTGGTGGTGGTGGTGGCGGCGGCGGCGGCGGCGGCGGCAACAGCGGTGGTGGTGGCAACAGCGGTGGTGGTGGCAACAGCGGTGGTGGTGGCAGTTGCGGGGGGCGGTGGTGGCATCAGCAGCGGTTGCGGTCAAGGAAACAACAGTTGCCATTGCATCAATAACATTGGCAGTGCTACTACGCATAAAAAACACTCATAGCATTAGTAGTTGCGAACGGCTACAGTAAGTAACAAAGGTAAGGGTTGCAGCAGCAGCAGCAGTAGAAGTGGTCGTGGTGTGGCATTCGTGTTCAGAGTCATGACGGAATACCGCCGTAGTTGTAGCATGTCGTAGTAGTTGGCACCTAGTAGTCAGCCCAAAGAGCTTCAGCCAAAAGACCGGCGCGCAACCAGCCTAGCGGTTACAATCACCATCAATCATGGCATCTACATGTGGCACTCACGCTGCCACAAATTACTTCAAGTTTCGTCGCCGCGAAGAAACATTGAGCAACAATGCTGATTAATGATTATAGCAACTAACATTGTATTGCAATTCTGGTTCACCGTAGAATTCTGAAGTCATGCTAGTGCTGACCCCCTGTTTTGCATGTGATGCATGTGCCACGCAGTTTGCAACCATTACAGCACTGTCCAAGGTGTCCATGCTACTGCATCTCTGGAGCCAGAAGAGGAACTCAGGAAGTATTGGAACAACAGCCTGTGACGGTCTGTGGAAAGGTGTTAATGCTGGCATCAGGCATTCGATGACAGACTCGCGCTAAGGCCACCTGTCGGGTAACATTCGGCCTTTAAAACGCACATCCAATTAAGAAAGGAACCATGACCTTAGCAAGGTTCATAGAAACGTTACTTATGTAACTTTAATCTTCATAATTTAGTCATACAGCCAAGCCCTTCCACCTCGTGGTGTCGTGGCACCTGCAAAGAAACATGGATGAGTATAGTCAACCATATAACCACGCGTTAAGCCGACTAAATGTGGCAATCGTCAGGGCTTTGTGGGTCTGTTGGAAAGGCTGAAAGGACTGGCTTTGGAAGGATGAATTGACCGTCTTCGCGAGAAAGGAATTTACTTTCGCAAAACTTTCGCGGACCCATCACTTCGCATGTTTCTGATAACTAGCTCTTTCAGCAGCCCCGAAACTCTATATTTAGAATCGGAAAGCCGCTGACTTCACGAAACGCTTCCCTGCATACTTGATCCCAAAGCATCCAAAGCCTCAAGCCCCAAATCTTTCAGCCTAGACCTGCACATGACAAGGGCAAACTTGAGGCAGGAAGGCTCCCCAGGTCTAATGAACTTATTGGCCTCTCTATTCGAACATACAGTAATTACACAGAAATCCACTGTGAGCTGTTGCTCACAGATTGTAACCTGAATTTACACCGTACTTACACGAAACTTCGGAACTTTCGCCAAAAAATCGCGCAAACTTATGTTGCCGGTCCAGATTAGCGAAATGTGTTCTAGGCGTAGAGCCCGAAGAATCTGGCGCAGATAAGCTCCAGGATTCTAACAGAGTCTAAGAGAGCACAGGATGGGGCTGAACCAAAACAGGTCAAAGAAGTAGTGCCCTTCTTCCAATCGAGATGAGAAAGCTCTGCAAGTCCTTGACAGCCATAGCTTAGAGCTTGCAGAGCTGAGAGCTTAGGCCTAGAATTCTATGAAACTTGGACGAAAAACCTTTCGGGAGACATGTCCTTCTGCGGTGCCATGGAGAAACTTTCGCCATCTTTCGCGATGACATATCTTGCTATGCTCATGGTCCATCCACGTAAAATTCCCGACAAGGACGTTTAGATCAACGCTCATATTATGATATGAAGCGGCGTCAAAATTACCTATCTGGCCTCTCTTGGTTTTTGAATGTTTTTGAATTACGGCGTCCCCCTTAACGATTTCCACGTTTTGGGGATCTTCTCTTAACCCTAGCTTACATGAATCAAACCTATATAGTTTGAGGCCGTTCCGTATCCATCTTGGGGATTTTGCGCAACAACTACCGCCTAGACTAAATGAAGCAAACGGTAATTTTGACCGCGACTCATATGGATTGCAATCATTGGAGCTGTCCGGGGCGGAAGCTGCACTCACGGACGACGCAGAGGACATGTTTCAAGTCGAGAGGGGGCTGCAATCCCACACTTTCCAAGAGTGAGTGAACTTATCAACGTAGTGTAGCATATCTAATTATAGAAATTATAGTATCCTTCCACTTCCAGTATCCTTCCATCGCCGTGCCTACAGCATAAAGCTCTGACGGACGGAAGGACGCAATGAAAGCTTTCAATGAAATATGTCAGAGCGGTAGCTTCCTGTAAATGTTGGAATAGATACATTTATATACCTTTGATGAGTGGGACATGAACCTGCTCGCACATGAGAGGCCTCCCAAGTCAACACCGTCCTGCGCTTTCAAAAGAGCGCTATGCACGTTTACCTGTTGATGTGGGTTCATATTTACTTGCTTGTTTCCCGACTCTTGCCCTGTCCACTTCTCGACCTCTCTTCCGTTCCGCTAGTGCCGTGCTGCGACTCCTGCGCTTGGCATGATGCTCTGCTCAGGCCCTGTTGTCATACAATGGTGTGTGTGTGTGTGTGTG